TATTATAATAGGGTACATATTGGGGGGTTTCTATGAAGGGCTACAGTTTCGGGACTGGAGGGTTTAGATGTTTGGGTTAGGGCTTAGTGCTTAGAGTTCCGAGCTCAGGGAATGTGCAACCTGTTTCCAACAAATTATGCAATTTTCTTGCAGAACTTTGCACATTGAACGCCCTCTGATACATGCAGAAGCTTCTTGCAAGCCCCTGGGAAATTCGGAAATACTTCGAGCAGGCTCAGGTCCTTGTACCTGAACAAGATAACAAGATAACATGCAGCACCGTATGCCTTTACAAGGTGCAGGCCCCCCCCCCCCCGCCCTAACTCTAAATCTCAGACCCCAAACGTCAAGCCTTAAATGCGATACCAAATCTCGAATGTCATGCCTCGAAAGCTCAAACCAGCCAAATCGCCCCAACCTGCCTGGTGACTAGCTGGCGTGGGCATCGTTCCAGTGTGCACCGGCGCCTGTTTTCACTGGGTGTTGGGTGCAAATGGCGATATCGGAAGTATGCATGCTTATAGGAGCTCACTCCAAACCCCGTAACCTTGCCCCATCAACTCACATACTGCCCTCCCCTCCAGTACTGCGAGGTTCACTCCCTTGTGCTTAGTAAAGAATGGGGGAATGGATCCCTATAGTAGTCCCTATATAATTCCCAATAATTCTCCCCAAAATAAACCATTCGCCCATTCCCGTGCTCCATGCAGGCACCCCCCCAAGCTTGCTACAAAAACTTAGACCCAAACTTCCGAAAGCTGCACAAACTGCACAAACGCTACATAAGCCCCATGTACCCCTTATACAGCCCGCACACATCCCTGTACATATCCCCTATATATCTCCCCGCAGCCCCCAAAAGCGCTTTTGACCCTAGAACTTACCTTTGGTTAGCTAGGAATCCTCAAAGTAGTCTCCATAGAACCCATCCTAGTAATTCCCAGTCTCTTCCCAATAGTAGTTTCCATTCTCTTTTCCATCCCTTCTGTCCCCGCGAACCAAAGTAAGAGAAACCCCTTGCCTCCGTGCTGAGCGCCACCCGCAGGTCAAAGCGAGGACCCGACGTTGGAATTGAACGGCCGGCGTAGAGGTCCAGGACTGAAGGGAATTTTTTGAGGAGTTTTGGCCTTTTCGAGGTTCGTTAAGGCTTGAGGTTCAGAACTGTTGAGCTTGGATTTTTTGAGATTTGCATTGCGACGTTTAATCTACTTCACCTTTACTAGAGGTCCTTCTTGCCTAATGCGGGACCGTTGGCGTGGCGCTTTAGCGGGCCCTGGGTCTCTGTAATCCGTTCACAGTGAAATCGTGACCTTACCGCAGCCTCTTGACACAGGCTCATATCCGAGGTCGATGTATTCCAGAAATCCATTGAAGGACTACACCCCCAGTTTACACATTACATAACCACCCCTTTGGGGACTTGAGACTATAGTTCATATCAGCCGTAACCCTTTTTAAAGGATTTCTTCAGGCCCAAAAGGGTATGTAGATGGGGTATAGGCCATGTACAGGCCCCATGCTCGGCTGCTATTACTATTACTATTAATGTAATGTCAAACAAGCATAAACCGTCCCAGCAGTCCTGCTCGCTTGTTTTTCATCACCGCGACTGGAGCACCCCATCGCGCATTGCCGGCTTTGTCAGTGACTCTCGTGTGGGTCACGCGGAACTGGCCTCGCCACCAATCACCAGAACTGCCGCAGACCCTCAGACAATTGCTTTCCTACCATGGAAGACTCCCAAAAATTAACATCCGAAAAAATCTGGGCTCAGATCACTTGAAAAGACCCTTAGCATGCCCTTTGAATAAGTGTGGGTTTGCCTTGGTCTTCTGAAGCCTCACGGAGAGTCCACCCCTGCAGAAGTTGGGAAACTACTTGCTGCAATCGGAGAATATGTATTCGCACGGTTGGGAAACAAGATCTTCATCGAGATTAGACTTCCGGAACCCATGGAATCTCATAATGGAAGCCGCATCATGTAGAAGCCCGTAAGACTCACATACAACCCTGAATATCTGTTCGACAGCCAGGACGCGCGAAGGCTGATTGGGGGCCGGTGGGGCATCATACCTTGCAGCCGAACACAACCACTGTGCTCTTTCCATCTTCCTTTCCATTATTCCTAATATATACCTTTCTATATTAAAGTAATTGCCATTTTCTTTTCCATTATATCCAATATATACCCTTCTATAATATAGTAGTTCCCATTTTCTTTTCCATTATTCCCGTTTCTCAGAGTAGGAGTCCTGAAGTGGAATCATAGCTAGGCCTACACGAGAGCCAGCAGAGTCTGCACATCAACCTACGCGAAGAAAGCTTTTTGGTCTACTTCGAGTAGAATGCATTCGTGCTGCGAAAGTACTTCTGCAGCTGTTCACATTGACATGCTTAGTAACTGTTGGGTTACTAGGAACTTCTGCTTTAGCAACGCCTCTGAATATGTTTGAGTCACTGATGGCAGCTTGAAAAGTTGGGTGAACCTCCGAGTTCAGATATCGAATTTCTCACATTGTGACCTCCGGGCTCACGAAGGTAGCATGGAGGTCATAGCAAGCAGTCTGCAGGCTTTTGCTTTGAGGAGAAAAACCTTACAATCGATGAGCCTCATGTGGCTTTCCAGAGCAGCGGCTGCAATTTGTTCACTGTTGCTGGTAGAGAAAAAGCCATTAACACACAACCATCAAGAAGTTTGCTATGTTCTCAAGGGTTGCGGCCTTACCTGGCCACCGAAAATCCTGAAGACTAGAATGTTCCCCTCTTGGGGATTTTGTGGCATTTTTAGAACTTCCAATGGTTTAGGGTTTAGCTCCCAACCGTGGTTTGGATCATGGCTGAGGTCATATCGAAAATATACTGAGTAGAACGAATCTAGGAATCGCTCCTAGTCGTGACCGCGTGAACCTCGAAACTGAGACCCCGAACTCCGAACACTAGCTTGACTGCTTGGCATTGCTGGGCAAAGGCAGACCAATTGGCATCTGCGGCTACCTTCTGTGATAGTGGACTATAAGTCGGCTCTCAGTGCTTTGTTAAGCAGGTAACTCTTTTCCCAGGCCATCCAGAGGCAGGATAAGGAGGGTAAGCACCCTTACGAAGTTCTTTGGATTCTTTGGAGCATTCCTAATTTGACACGTCGCCGAAATCTTGCAGGTCTGCAGCACTGAACCTTACCTTCCTGGACAAGCTCACAAGATACCCATGCTTTGCGCGCAACCCTGTGGTCTAGACATTTTGGTTTACTGGGTTCAGCTGTAGGGTCTTCTTGGATGGGCGATGAAGTAAATACGTGGGGTTGGAGGCAGGAGACAAACTTATAGTCCCCCTTAAGTAGATATAATATGGGGTATATGGGGATCTTGTTATAATATACCCAAAGCCATATTCTATCTACTTCAGGGGGACTATATCATCCAACACCACCAGCACCGCAGAGGCGCAGCACGTCAAGCAACTCTTGGTCCTCAACTGTACCTGAAGAATGGGTCACAGGCTAGTTGAGGTGCTGAGCTTATCTTAACGCTGTAGAGATTGTTTAGCAGCGTAGCTGTGTTATGAGCCAGAATTTTGCTCACAACACGTATGTAAGGTAGATTCCAAAGATTAAAAGATGCAAACTGTGCACCAAAACAAGGATTCCGTTCGTACCGGCCTCCAGAATGTGTTAAAACTCCCGTATTGAGGTCACTCCAAATAGCAGTTAGCAGGGTTTGGGATGTAGGAATTCTGCCACTACAAAGTAGTAGTAAGGCTCTATGACTCCTTCGGATTTATGCCTTTGAGCACGTGCTGAGTCGCATCAGTTCTGGCAGGACACAGGCTCCGAGCAAAATGTACAGCTACCCTACAGGATACTAAGCTGCACCACGGTTAAGATCAGCAGGAAACTTGCGTGCTCACAGGACTCAACTACTCAGGGGCTCAACTTTGACTACAGAAGTATCACTTGAAAAGGGCATGCCTGAATTGTGGGACGCTGACAGATTTTGCACTAAACAGCTGAAGGTGTGGGCTTCAGGTCCTGATTTGGGGGTCCCTTTCTTGGTGTACCCATGTAAGGAGTCTGCATTGGGGTTCGCCTATTTATGGAACCAACCATTTTGCAGGCTCTGCTCATTCTAAAGCCCTACACGCGACATCCTGAGAAATGATAAGCCTTAGGAGGAACCCCCCACCCTGTAATAGTGGTATAATAGGAATATAAGAGAACCCTGATATAATCCCCATTATCCCCCATAGTCACTATTACTGGGTGGGGGGTCCACCTAAGATAAGCCCTACATTGAACACGCGGAAGTTGAAGTGCGTGGAGGTTCTTCCGTGCCAGGAGACCACGACGTAGCAATCCCCAACTCCAATGCCCCAAATCCGTAGCCCATCCCTCGAGCTCATGTCCCGCGGTTTAGGGTTTAGGGTTTTTGCCTTCGACCTCGTATTCGCATAAGAAGTTGCTTGAGAAAGCTGTTGTCAAGGGTTTGAAACGGCTCAGAACTATGAACTTTACAAAGGGCAGCATCCCTGTACCCTGAAATTCGATGTTGTCCTAAAATCTTAGACAATCCTAAACTCAAGGACCTTTAAAGTCAAGCCCAAAGTCCCCTGAGGCCCTAACACTCCAGTTGCAGCAGTTCCAGCCTCTTCAAGAAGCTTCAAGAAAAGTGTCCAAGAAGCTTCAGGTATGGTGTCATCTAGGAACCCAAACAGTGTAGAATCCTGTGGAACGAAATCGAACATGAAATGGTAACTGGAGTTGAGATGTCATCTTCGGGGTTGTTGAAATAATACTGGCTTTGGGATCATTTGGGAAAAGCTTGGCAATTCTTGAGGTTCTTTGGATTCCGGGGTGAGGGTTGGCGGTTTAGAGAACCTGGGACCTAAATGAAATGTGAAAAAGTTTGCGAGGAGTGTTTCAGGCACAGCACACCGTCGTCAATGCTTGGAATTTGGGTGTTGAGGTTCGGGACGCAGGGATAAGGTATTTACCAAAAAACACATAATCCGTTTTATCAGGGACCCCCAAATTGGTACTCCCAATTTAGGGGAACCCCATACGAGGTCTCGGGTTACAGTCCAAAGCTCCAAGTTTCAGATTTGAGGTTTCATGGTTTTGTCTGAATGCGTACGAGCACTGCCCGCCAGAAAACAACAATGACAAGAAGCAACCAAATGTCCGGGTTCAAATCCCAGACCTCAGCTCTCAACCCCAAACTCATTACCTGAAAGCTATATCCCCCAGGCCTGAAAATCCAATGTCCCCAACCCTGCCAAGTCCCTCAAACCTCAACTCATGGCAGCTCCGCCAAACATTTTGCCTACTTCTCTCCTGGGATTTTTCAAAATCCCCAAAACCACCCCACCGATACATGGAATAGGGTTTAGGGTTTGGGGGCTAGGGGATCCTTCTGAAGGACTGTCATGGGATAGACTATATAAACCCTACTATAGTATAGTAGTTTCCATTTCGTTTTCCACTAACCCTATATAACCCTATATAACCTTATATAACCCTATATAACCCTATATAACCTTATATAACCTTATAGTACCTACTTGGAACAAGTTTCATCATGTTCGCTCTCTGACGGCCAAGATCGAACCCTGAGTTGAACCGTTGACTTTTAAACAACCAATGGTGTAGCCTATTAGGTTTAGGGTTTAAGGTATTAGGGTTTACCTGGACCCCAAGAGTATGTAAAATAATAGCCTTTATGGCTGTTTTCAGGGGTTTAGGGCTATTGTTTTGCCTACCTCTGGGGGGGCCCAGGTATGGGTTATGCGTTAGGGTTTAAGGTTATGAGTCTACCACCCCCTAAGCCCTAAACCCAAAGCCGTGTTGCATTTGAGTCTTGCAAGGGTGATCTGTTTCTGTCATGGTGAACACCCTGTAGCACTCTGCAGGCTCGTCTCAGCCCTGAAAGCCCCTGCTAGAATTCAATGCAGGTGCACCCAAAGCCCAAATTGCACATCGTCAAGCTGGAAACCCTATAACCCCAATATAAAACCCTATAACCCCAACATATACCCCATAATCTCTATATAAGCCCTACATAAGGGTCCATGGTACCCCAAATGGACCTCAAAATGATATTGGCCGAAAATCCTACGCTGCAAAATCACTCCAGGACCCCAACCAACTGATTTTGAAACCCCAGCTGCTTATGCATGAGTTCGACGAAGATCTCTGGAGGAAGCCCCGGGTGAAAGCGATAGGAGAAGTTCTCCTCAGCAATTTATGGAGCTTCCAGGGCCAAAGGAACGGGAGGGCAATACATTGATCCTAAACCCCACACCCTCTACGGGGACTCTACAGCGAATACTCAAAGGTTCAGGGCTTTTTACAACTTAGCTGTCGGCAACGCGTAAAGAACGAAGGCCCATGTACGGAATCTGCCAAACCACCCTACAGAATTGACCCTAGCGTGTTGTATAACGCAGGTTTGGGAAGCTAATGCATAAGGACGGACGCAAGGGAAAGGCTTTGGGCTTAAACGCATAGGGCCCTTTTTTGAAAAAAACGGAAAGTAGCACATTCATGGTTTTCACGGTGCCATGGCGATGGCCATGCCCCAAGTCTGGAAAGCCAGCATGATTTGGAGCATGCGGAATACCAAGGTCAACATGAAACATATGAGCTATAGGCCACACTCCTTGAAGGGGTTATATAGGAGATTTTTTCGGGGAGTATTGCAGAGTTTATGCAGCGGACTACGAGGAGTTTAGACTATAGCTTGTAATTCACATCCACGCCTTGGCGACCTCATTACTAAAGCCTGAAAGGAGGATGCGGTGATGAGTCCCAATTACTCTCCATGCAATGTCCCTTCGGGGCTGGACCAAAGGTACTGGGTCCTCTGTTCACTATTCACTTACCCCCTCCCCCCTATGCAGCACACGACGATTAAAGGCATGACTGCTTCCCAGAGACGGAGCTAGGCAACAGCAAAGCCTGCAGGCATAGCAAGGTCTAGTCGAGGGGCTTAGGGTCAGCTAGATTTGGCCACCAAGAAGCTCGGTGTAATCCATGATAACAACTACAGGAGACTGTGGGGTATAGCGGTAACAAATTTCGC